TCACTTTACCTCAATTTCTTTAAAATATTTCCTAGGGTTTTATGAGGATTAATTAGGTAAGTAGCATTTTCTGAGAACTATTTGTGGCTGTTTAATTCTACAACTTGACTTTTTAATGGCTTTATGGTGACAACTGAGTTGTTTTGTTTTTAAGTCTGAAAAGCTTTTATGTCTGTTAAGAAACTTATCAGGTGTTTCTTTCCACTGATTTTCCATTCGTTAAAATTGTTTCAAGACCTAGTTTTTCCTAAGACTTTAAGCTGAATGTATAAATTTTCTTTTATTCATAATTCCAATTTGCAGATGTTAAAAACACATTTCCTTCCATCAGTGTTTAACTTCTTTCTTTAATAGATGACCTCTTTTTAAACATTAAAACCCATTTTTAAACTCAGATAAGTTTCCTTAATTTTTAAACTACATTTACACATTTAATATGTCTTGTCTTCTTAACTACTACAAATGCACAACCAGGCTGCCATAGGGATCTAGTAAGCTGTGCATTTCTAAGCCCTGTGACAAGAGCTCATGTCTATACTCAGTCTCCACTACAGGCTGCCATCAGTGAGCCTCAGGTCAGGACTGTTAAGAAGATATGTGCATCATGAGTTTGACAACCATACCTTTTCTGATAGCCTTGAGTATCTGTCACATGGCCCCTTCCCCAGTTTTTAAAAACCATAACCTCTGAGATGAATTACTGAGATTCTCCATCTCCTATTCAGATCTAAGTTTGTCTTTAATTGGGTAACTGCATCCTTCTTATGTAATATTTCTATGCTTGTCTCACACTTTATAGTTACTACATCAAAACATAGTATTTTATGATAGTGAGATAACCATAATTCATTTAACCCCCTGTTTTTGGATACTAGATTATTTTCAATTTTCTCATATCAATGACTGTTGAAAACATATATTTAGGGGTTCCAGGGTGGCTTAGTTGGTTAAGCGTCTGACTCTTGATTTCAGCTCAGGTCATGATCTCATCATTTGTGGGATCAACCCCATGTTGGGCTCTGCACTGACAGCGTGGAACCTGCTTGGGATGCTCTCCCTCTCTCTCTGCCCCTCCCCTGCTGGAGCATGCACACATACACTCTCTCTAAATAAATAAATAAACTTTAAAAAAATGTAGAAATATTTTGTGTACATTCTTACTTCCTTTGGATAAACTCAAAATAGAATAACTCAGTGTCATTACCCTAGTATTATGTAATATATAACCTAATACCTACCAGTGTGAATCTTGGAATTGTTTTGTCAAATTACACAGACAAATCCTATTGAGATTATTAAGGGGAATAACTAATGTATGAATATGGTCATATCAAACCCTTTATGGAATAGAGGTGACAGAAATAAAACAGAAGCTAATAATGTGTTTTCTTGGGGCACCTGGGTGACTCAGTCGGTTAAGCGTCCAACTCTTGATTTCAGCTCAGGTCATGATTTCACGATTGTGAGATCAAGACCTGCATCGGGCTCTGCACTGGTTGTGGAGCCTGCTTAGGATTCTTTCTCCCCTTCTCCCCTGCTTGTGCTCTCCCCCCACCCCCTAAATAGTAGTAGTAGTAGTAGTAGTAATGTGTTCTTGTAATTTGACAAAGATTCTAAAGTTTATTTAGGGATGAAAAGAGGAGTAACACCAGATACTGAAACATATTACAGGATACCGGCATTGAAAGAATGTGTTTCTAAATGGATAATTCTATTCCCTTTATTGAATACTTTTTCCCCCTGAAACCAAGTGGATGTTGATTTGTATCAAATGCCTTTTGTACTTCCCTCAAGATAATCTGTCTTTTCTGTTTACATATGTTTGTGTTTTCTTACAATCATTTCCTAATTTGAAACCTTACTTGCACTTCTGGAATAAGTCATTCTTTGTCCTAAAAACAACCTAACAGAATATAAGTGTAAAAAGTTTCAGAGTTTTGCGCTTTCCTTCAAAAGGAAGATTAGTCTATACAGGTCTTTAACTTTTCTGGGGCACCTGGGTGGCTCAGTCGGTTGAGCATCTGACTTCGGCTCAGGTCATGATCTCACAGTTCGTGGGTTCGAACCCCGCTCCCAGGCTCTGTGCTGACAGCTCGGGGCCTGGAGCCTGCTTCGGATTCTGTGTCTCCCTCTCTCTCTGCCCCTCTTCCGTTCATGCTCTGTCTCTCTCTGTCTCAAAAATAAATAAAAACATTTAAAAATTTTTTTTAATATTCTCTAGGTTAACTCCTGGTATTTTGCAATGTAAGGACTTGGAAAGGTTTCATCTGCCTTGTGCTCTGGCATAGTACCGTAAACAAATGAACCAATGGGATTGCTGTCCATCGAAACTTTTGTGGTTTTTGTCACTTTCCCAGATACTTACTTGGTAGCAAAGGATCACCATAGAAATGAATATGTTTGTAGTCATCATCTCGGTGACATTGTGTCACAAAATTGGTTGACACAGGATGAATGTGCTTTGTATATTCAGTCTTCTTAATGAAATCCCAAGGAAAATATCAATCCTGCTACTAATGACGATAAATGGGCTTTGCACACACCAAGTGCTCTTACTCCCAGTAGTGCAAAGCTCTTTATGATTAATTATTTCAGTCATCCTCACAGTTGTCCCATGAGGTGAGTGGCTGAGTGCTTCCTCTTAGAAAAAAAAAATAATAAAACAGGTAACTAATTGGATTTTCTTCTGTTCTACATTTTGTGTTCTAGAACTGGATAGCTACCTTATAAAGACCGCCAGTGGACGTGGGTTTCAAAATCACAAGCTTCTTTCACATATGAACACCAGGCTAGGAGCAGATGTGGAGTGGTAAAGTTGGAGAGAATTTTGATGAGTTTGGCAAGAGACTATGAGTGGATTAGCCTAGATGTGGTGAAAAGAGACAGGCAACGACTGAGTTGGTGTTTTGGCACCTCCATTAGAAGTGGTAATCCAGAGTGTCAAAGTTTGGTTTTTGCAAATATTTTAACAAGACATCTCTTTGCTATTTGTACTTACTCTTCCCACAACATTGTGCTAGGGTTCTACAAAGGATCTCTGTCAATCCCAGTTTCCACACAGGGTTGCTGGTCCTTTCTCATCCTGCTCTAATGTTTTAGTGCCTGGGGCTTTTCACAGGGACCATAGAAAGGTGAGATGTCTGCTTCTCAGTGAGACCTCTTAGCCTGTGTCCGTCGTCCAGTGACCATCCGTTTCTCTCCAGGTCACCTTATGCCGTCACTTCCCTGGAAGTGGACAGTGCCTCTCTGTAGACACAGCTTGTCAGGGGAGCAGAGATACAACTAAAACTACGTTTTTATCTAGTGATCACCTTGTCCTTCCTTTTACAGTACACCTTTCTGTCTTCCCCAGTAGTTTTGTTGTCACTTGAGCTCTGTCTCCTCAGACTGCAAGCTCTTCGGATGAATGCTCAGGCCAGGCATGTTTTTTAATAAACTCCTTTTAATTGCCTCTGCGTCGCGCCCTCGGCGCTGAGGTGTTCAGGTGCACAATAAAGGCGTGTGGTTGATCTATTTGCTATCCATACTGCCAACAAATATTGCCTGTACTTATTGACTGTGCCATTTTACCTTTTTTCCCTCTTTCTTTCATTAAGTGAAGGTTTAGCTGTCCTGCTTTGAGTTTTTCCTCCTCCCTGTTTTTTCCTAAAGTTCCCCTGAAAGGGAGCCCTTTAAAATGTGAAGAATTACGCTGCAGTTGTGCAGTGTACTCAGGGTGGGGACTAATTACGAGGTTCGAAAACCTCTTCAGGTGGCTGGGTTCTGCAGCACGACTAAAATACTGCTTTCCTAAATTGAGAACAGCTGGGGCTGTGTTGCTAGCAAGTATAAAAGAGTTGGTGCTGGGGCTCTGCGCTGTGAAGAAGTCTTTGCTCTTTGAAGCCTGCGGAGCCTCCGCCGAAGGCACCCTTTCCTCCTCCGTGTCGCGGTGGTAAGTGCCTGGAGCTGGTCCCCAGGGTGTCAGTTTCTGTTGCGCGGTAGAAATTGTGCCGGCTGCCTCAAAATGTGGTTCCTTACTAATTTAGCATGTCAGCTGGAGGATTTTTATCTTTCTCGAGTAACAAGTGGAATGTGTTCCCTGAATGAAAACATAGCTAAGGCTTTGTGTGTCTTTTCACTGTATTATTTTGAAGGCTGTCCGCGTTCCTGATGTGTGGTGTGCATCTCTAAATATAAAAGGATAAACTGAGGCAATGCCACCTTAAGTACCTTGCATATGTGGTTCTTGAATCTGTTCTGAGAAGTGGTCGTTTAAGAAGACTCCAGGAAATAAAAAATTGAGTCTTTGTCAAGTGAAGAGAGTAACGATTATTCAATGCATGTAAGCACCTCATCAGTTTTTTATTCTTCCAGGTTCACAGAAAAGCTACAGTCTTAGGAAAGAATGATGTGGTCTCTGGAGAGGTTCTAACTTATTGTGACTTCATGGTTAGCAACAAGTAATAGTGTCTGATGAAGTATTTGCCAAGTTGGGTCCTGATTTTTATTTAAAGAGATTTTAAAGGGATTTATTAAAATGTTCCCATTAATACTGACATCAGCTCAGAAAGAGACAAGATTTCCAAGATAAGACAACTCAGTATTTTACAAATAAACTCCATCTCAACACCTTTCACCATGTTCTTATGATATATTTATAAAGCAAATGGCTTTGGTATTTGCTTCCTTATTTTGATAATGCTTTTGTTTTGTTTTGGATGGTTAACAATTGGACATGCACCGTTTCTGAACGTAGTTTTGTTTTATTTTTTACAGGTGGGTGAGTAACACCTCTGGGAGAAAGAAAATTGGCTTCCTTTCTTGAAGGTGGTGAGTGTACAGCAGGTAGCTGCATGGAAGGAACAGTAATCAGATGGCCACCTTCTTCACTTTGTGCTAGGAAACAAAATCAGTTATAAGAGTCCATGTTGATCTCGGAAATAGAGGGATTTGAAAAAGTTAAGTTTGCACAAAGAACAAGAACTTTACCATCTCCTTCTTGATCTGAAGACTGGGGAACCATGGATATTATAGAGACAGCAAAACTCGAGGAACATATGGAAAATCAAACCAATGATCCCGCAAATACTTACACAAGACCTGCCGAGCCTGTTGAAGAAGAAAACAAAAATGGCAACAGTAAACCTAAGAGCTTATCCAATGGGTTGCGAAAGGGCACCAAAAAGTACCCGGACTATATCCAAATTGCTATGCCCACTGAATCAAGGAACAAATTTCCCCTGGAGTGGTGGAAAACAGGGATCGCCTTTGTGTACGCTCTTTTCAACCTTGTCTTAACAACCGTCATGATCACAGTTGTGCACGAAAGGGTGCCTCCCAAGGAGCTCAGCCCTCCGCTACCAGACAAGTTTTTTGATTACATTGATCGGGTAAAATGGGCATTTTCTGTATCAGAAATAAATGGGATTATATTAGTTGGATTATGGATCACCCAGTGGCTGTTTCTGAGATACAAGTAAGTAGGTCTAATAATTTTGGGGGGACTTGCCGTAAGCTTGTATTTAAGGGAGTAAATATATAATTGAAATTGTCTTCCTCAGTTTTGTCCGATAAATTCATTCCTAGCCAGGCATTTGATGACAAGAAGCCATCCAAAGATCTACCTTATTGAATAAGTAAGCATTTGTTGAGCAACTGTGTATGAAAGGGGCAAATATGAGGACATTACAGATATGCTGTGGTTGGTGATTCAGAGTTGATGAATGTAAGGTGCAGTTCCTGATTTTAAGCAACTTGGTACTGTGGTATCTGAATGATAAGTCAAGAGGCTTGGAAAGGAATAACATTCACATCATCATGCTTTTGTTATTTTAGGCTTTTAACAGGTGGGGAATGGAGTAGACTGGGAAGTGTTTTTCTCTTATTACTCATAATGTGATGACTATATTGGTCTATAGTCAATGGCGTTCTTTGAGATTTGCTTCTATTCAGGAGTTCTCAAATTTTACATTTCCTTTTCTTTTGCCTATTGGGAATCCAATCACAAGAGTTTTAGAAATTGAATTTAGATGTGGGTCTATGAAGTTTGGGCTTTAGACTTCTAAAGTAAACACACTGTCCAGTTTCCCCCGTGGCACCACAAAGGAGCTCTTAGTTCACTGGTTTCAGTCTCCTTGTTTTGAAACAGGAGCAATCAGGAAGTAGGAAGCCAGGTACTTTTGCTTTAAAGACACTTAAAAATAGGACATAGCTCTGAAGTGGTTATTTTTGCTTCCCTGTGAAATCTCGCTGCTAGCCCATAAAAACAAGGCCCCTCAATTCCCTTTTTCATTTCATTTATCCTTCGGAGATTTGTTCTCTACTAAGATTCTAGCAATTAAATCACTAAAATATAAGTTTGATCAAAGCATTGTTCATAAACTGAGGCTTTTGAAAATGTAATATATATTTAGTCAATACATACTGTTCAAAAATTCACAAATAGGATTTTCACATTAATACCACAAGATCATTTTTAGAAGAAAAAATTTATGTCATATTGTTCTTTCCATTGGTTGTTGCTTTGAGAATAGAAGAATTCAGTCTCTATTTGCTGAAGAGTTCCCCAAATTCAAGTTTGTAGTTTCGAAAACTTACTCTACAAACCAAAGTCATTCCTAAACATTTTCTTTAATATGTGTAAGTAAAAGATAGCCATCAACTGCCTTTTACTAGAACTTTTTGCTGCCAAAGTTGTTAGTTATGGTATGCTTTATGCCAAAAGCAAACAATACATTTGTTGAACTTTAGTGTTTCTCTTTCTGGTTTCTACAGTTGACACTGAAAATAAGAGAGCCTGCATAGGCCAAAGGTGTTTGCTTTCTCCTTTAATTTAGGCCAACATTTTATTTGTATCTATGTGAAAAGAGATATTTTCCAGGGTCTGGTAAGTAGCTGGCTTCTATCCAGAGGTACAGTCTCGATTTATTTGAATCTTCATCTAAAGAGTTGTTATGCACTGCCTCTCCATGACCACCTGAGATTTTACCATGTCATAGATGACCACACATTTTAATGATACCCACCATTTTGGTCACAACCCATCATCAGAAATTTGTTGGGGAAATCATACTAATTTTTTTTCACTTTTGAGGTAAAATTGTATCATGTATTTTAGTAACTAGTAGAATAATTTTTGTAACATGTTTTGAACATCCTGGCTAAATGAGAAATCCTACTTGCTCTTCTTTGTTAAAGCATCTTCAAAGCTGTGGGGCGGGGCGGGGGGGGGAACATTAGCTCTAGTTATTTTTCTAAATAAGGTTGCAGAGTGCACATTTTACCTTCTAAGTTAATTTTCAGTTCTGAGTACAGCTGAACTCAGAATGCTGGAATGAATATAATTGACTCATAATAATTCCTGCGTATTACTTCACCTTGTCTAACAGCATGAAGCACACAGTTCAACACTTTTTGGGTCTGAGCTAGAAGCAAAGAATGAATTGTTTTTGACTTAACCAAATGGAGAGACTCGGCACTGTTTATCGCCCATTCCTTTTCAGTACTTGAAAAGGCATAGTTAGCATAGCAAACCTTTGAAATAAATGGCCTTGCACTAAATAAATACTTTCATCTAATAGTCTAGGTATTTTTCTTCTCTATATTTTGACCCCAGAAACCCTGGAATATTCTTAAAATAGTTACTGGAAACATGCAACTAAAATTACATTTGTACATAATTCTGTAAGTTAGAAATCCTAACAGTTACCTGAATTAGACCTTGATCCACATCAGATGAAAGTCTTGGAGAAAACTAAAAGTATGCCACATACCTGAAACTGCCTATTTTTCCAGAAGTCTTTGATCAGTATTAGTTTTGAAAGTTTGAGAGCTCTGAAAATGGGGGACCTGGAGTAATACAGTTTATGTGCTAGGGAAGTCACAATTAGCAATTCGAGGGGCTTTATGGACCCCGCCCATCTCTGAACCCCCAGAGCCCAGAGTTTATAGACCCACCCCTAACTGCATAGCAGAAAATGAGTTGTCATCTTCAACTGGACATAAGGACACTCGGAACCCTCAAAGCCCATTCAGATACCCGTGAAGCAGTGGTGCGAGCAGGCAGGGCCTACCCCTGTGGAGGATTCCTGAGGTGTGCTCAGAGTCACCCTCTAGGAACCACTGCCTTGGAGTGAGGACTTAGTGGTCCAGGACAGGGACTAATATCAGTTTCCACCAAAAAATCGAAAGTATAAAAGGACTTGTGGGATATTTATTTATTTATTGCTTTTTTGGATCAAGGTTGAATAAAACAATGGTAAACTCATCAGTTAAGAGCTTCACTGGTAAATGCCCGTAAATGCACAAGGATACTTCGGACAGTTTCAAAATATAATTCTCTGAAAATTGGGGTGCCTGGGTGGCTCAGTTGGTTGAGCGTCCGACTTCGGCTCGGGTCATGATCTCACAGCTCATGAGTTCAAGCCCCGTGTCAGGCTCTGTGCTGACAGCTCGGAGCCCGGAGCCTGCATCGGATTCTGTGTCTCCCTCTCTCTCTGCCCCTACCCTGCTCATGCTCTGTCTCTCTCTGTCTCTCAAAAGTAAATATTAAAAAAAAATTTTTTTTAATTCTCTAAAAATCTATATAGTCATAGACAAAATAGTTCATGCTCAAGTTGTGAAAATCCTTTTGGATGGTCTCCAAATAAACCTTGCTTATATAACTTAGGTTAAATTAGTTGTCCCATTTCCCTATGTGTCCAATTATATAGTATCACCTTGGCTCATTAGTTAATTCCTCTGTGACTGGCTCGTTTATACCTTGATATGTTCTCAAGAGAAGGTTTTATTAATGCAGTGAGTTGACTGAAAACATAGTTCATTGAATTCTTTGGCACAAAGAGTAACTTTTTTAGGAGAGGTGGTTGTCTAGAACCCTCAGTCAACTTTAACTCCCCCACTCCCCACAGACACTCCTTTTGGGTCCCAACCCACCTAGAATTATCACAATATGTGAACCTCTGTTTCTGAAAGCTACAGTATGGCCTCTCCATGGGATTGCAGGGGTGGGAAGTTCACAAATAAGCCTTTGAGCTGTGAAACTGTGGTCTGTTAATGCCACTCTGTATTATTCTTTATTCTGTTAAACGTTGTTTGATAATGCATTAGGAGCAGAAACAACAAGTAAACTTGTTTTCCCCACCCCTGTTTTTCCTTTAGGTCAATTGTGGGGCGCAGATTCTTTTTTATCATTGGAACTTTATACCTGTATCGCTGTATCACAATGTATGTTACTACTCTCCCTGTGCCTGGAATGCATTTCCAGTGTGCCCCAAAGGTAAGTACCTCTGAATTACCATATAGAGGAGATGAAGAAAACGATTATTGAACACCTGCTCCCTATTGACATGCTCTTTAGACACTTCCATATGTGTTAACTGCAATCTAATATAGTTTTTGTTTCTCTTTAGACTTGGGGGAAGAAATTTAAATATGTTCATAAAATGTGTATCTTTGCGCATTAGACTTTCATTTTCTACTAACTAAAAGTTACAGTGTTTAGTTTAGTTTCTACTAACTAAAAGTTTTAGTTAACAAAAAGTTCAACTCTGCTTTTTTGCCCTCTTATTTACCTATTCATTCATTCATTCGTTCATTCATTCAAGTATTAAGCTCCTGTTCTGCACCAGGCCAGCGCTGTAGCAACAGCAATGACCAAAACAAAGTTTTTCTTTTTCTAAAGCTTATATTCTGTTGGGGGATGACAACTGAGAAATAAATGCACACCTTGTCACATAATGATATGTCAGGTTGCTATCAGATGAAAAACAAAAGCTGAGTAAGGGTAACAGCGATGCTGAGGACAGGTACTACTTTATACAGAGATCAGAAAGGCTTCTGTAGTAAGAAAGCATTTGGGCAGGAAACAAGATAAGGAAGTGAGCCATGTGGTTGGGGGGAGCCCTAAGCCAAGGAAATAGCTTAGTCACAGTAGATTTAAAAGGTGTCAGGAGGCTCATGTGGCTGAGTAGAGGTGGAAAGGATGGAGGTGGGACAGGCCTTGGGTCCCCTAGGCCCTTTGTGGCCCACTGAAAATGAACTTCAGTGGTGGTGGCAAGAGGTGAGGAGAAGTCATTCAATTCAAGATGAATTTTGACAGTAAGGCCAACAGGATGTGCTAATAAGTTGGATATGGATGTAGAAGAAAGAAGCTGAGGATGACCCCAAAGTTTTTAGCAGTTGGAAAGCTAGAGGGGCCTTTTGCTGGAATACATTGTGGGAATAAATACTGAAACTGTCTTAAGCAGGGTTTACAGTCTCTCCAGGTAGAGCCACTTCGTGAGAGAGCTGTTAATCATCTTAGACCCCAGTATGTCCTGGTTTATAAAAAAAGAAGCATACAAATCATGTGCTTTCTGGACAAGGGAGTAAAGTCTAACATCATATTTTACTGAACACTAAGCAGATGTCCAAGGTGGAAGGAAAAATAGAGTTGTTCTAAGTCAACAGTCTCCCTCACCAAATATAGGTGTGGTTTGGAGAAGCTATAATTTTCCAAAGCCATCAAAGCAGAAAGTATCTGTAATTAAAACAGTGTACATATTGAATTTAAACATTGGCTGATTTTTAGTGAAACTAATTTAAGGCATGGGAGAAGTTCAGAAATGTAATAAACACTTCTAAGGGGTTATTGCTATGTGTTAAATGAAGAAATGGGCACAGAAAAGAAGGCAAGCCCATCCTAGTAATGGATGAGGTTTGCAGAGATGAGTTGCTATGATTATAGAAAGAAAGTAAATTAAAGATCATCCTCCCTGGAAGAGTTGCAATTTTCAGAAGCCACATCAGTAAACATACCACTGGATCACCAAGCTACAAATACTCCCAATGGAAGCTCTGGTGACATCCTAACTAAATAGCCCCCATGTTCATTTGTCAAGACCTCTTCCTGAAGCATAAGCAGGCTATAGGTGCCTGAGTAATGGTTCGGTAAAACAAACACAAATCATTTTGACTAGAGGTGATAGGGTGTTATGGAACAAGAGTCAGAATTGTGTTCTAAATGTGGTTCAGCCACTGGCTTTGAGTGCTCCTTAGATTTTTGTGGTCACAAGGCTATTAGGTAATCTACCTGCCTCCTCTGTTGCTGACTGTGTAGAATGTCCTTCGTGGCTATGAGCAATGACAGAACCATGTATACTGAAACCACTCTCTGTGAGAGGGTGTCACATCTAGTCCTTGGTGCCGAATAAACTTGTCACTCACAAGATACAATCACCACGAGTGATTTCACAAGATTGGTGAAATATTTGGCTTTCGGTTTTCCAGTTGCCTTCTCCCTTGTCTGTCTTGGGCTGTACTTTAAGTCTTTTGCTTACAATTTGCTTCAACCCAGCAATCCAAGCTTTGGTTTGCAGTCACAAACTGTGTGTTCTGAGAAGTGTGTTTAAATAAATGTTGGCCCAGTTATTAGAACGTGAATGAAATGATTTAGCTTTTCAAACCCATTTTGCCACATACAAGAATGTTGGGCTGGAATGACTATAGTCTGTTCCCTGAGAAAGTTTTCCTCACACCTTGGCCAAGGATGTCTGGAGGACTTTTCTTCTGAACTGAAGGTACAGTCTGCAAGGTAAGTTTTCTGATTTGGCAGCAACGAAGTTGGGCTGTCTTGTACTTTTTTTTTTTTTTTTTTTTTTTTTGTGGGGAGTGGCATGCAGAGGTGACAGTTCGAGGAACCCTTAGAACACTGAGCCTCTTTCTGCCTTGGCTCTTGTGATTGATGCTTCTCCTCTTAGCTGTCTGCATCTTCAGTTCCATATCCAGTCATGGCATAGAATGGTGTCTGACAAATCAGGAAATTAATAGGAACGAGAGTCATAAGTGGTGAGCGTTGGGGGTCCCAGTGAACCAGAACAAAATTAGAAAAATAAGTCCATTAATCCCAACTCTCACCATTACCTTCCCTGACCTTCCTCAGTTTTCTTTATACCCTCACCCCGCCCTCTTTTTTCCCCTTTCTTGAGCATGAACTGCTATCTAGGATAGCAGTGACAGGATTGAGGAATTAAGAACTGAGAAAAGACAGAGCAAGGAGAGAGAGTGCTTCCTCTGTTCTGTATTCTGTAAAGGCATAATGAATCCAGTGCTATCAGAAATCTCCATTCACCCTGGCTGCTGAAAGGAAGAGGGGAGAAGAGAATGTGTGGCAATAGTTTAGCTCCTAGTTTGCTTATACCTTTGGGGCCCATCTAATCCCAGGTAAAGGGACTGATGGCTTTAAGTGTTTCTGCCCTTAGAAAATTAGAGTGTTGAGTTGGGAACGATGAGCGGATAAAAATATATATATATTAGGGTTTTGAAATGAAGAGTCATGTGTCCTTTTAAACTGGAAACACAATGGTTGGGCAGTGTATGTACTTTTTTATTTGATCTCCGTGTTGACAGTTGTTTGTCCCAACCACGTGACAAGAAATTCCTGAAGGACTGTGGTTGATCTGATAAAACACCCGGCTAGGTTCTGTCTTGCACATGAAGGGCGTATCCACAATTTTATGCAGTTTACAGCACACATTTCCTGAGGTGAACCTGAAATGAGTTCTGTAGTTCTGTCCACAGTACTTCTCCTTCCTCAGATGTGGATCCTTTGCAGCCTTCTAGAGCCTGTCTTTTCAAGGCAAGATCACCTGTTACTTTTTTTTTTTTTTTTGTAATGTCTGTTTATTTTGAGAGAGAGTGAGCGAGCATGAGCGGGGAAAGAGCAGAGAGGGGCAGAGAGAGAATCCCAAGTAGGCTCTGCGCTGTCAGCCAGAGCCCAATGCGGGACTCATACTCATGAACCGTGAGATCATGACCTGAGCATCGGGAGTTGGATGCTTAACTGACTGAGCCACCCAGGAACCCCTGGACTATCAAGTCTTGATAAAATATCTATGTTGTGTTTTTGCCAGCTGGGCTTGCCCTAAACAAACTTTTGAAGAAGGTTTTTTCTCACTTTACCCTCTAATCATGGTTTATGTCATTTTGTGTTACAGAGCTTTATTCTCAACTATTAACCAATCATGGTGTGTTTGCCTTTTTACATAGGTCATCTGGATACCAGAAAGCTTTCCAGATCCGTATGAATTGTTTTTTATCAGGAAATGTTTAGGCTCCCCAGTAGTGATGTTTTGGGCAAAGAATCATGCCCTGATTCCTACTCTACTGGATAAGATGGTTTTCTACTTGCCCTAGAGGCTAATTGAATTTCCCTCCTCCCAGACTCTCCTCCCATCCATTTGTACACACTCTACCCTCCTTCACCCCATGCATCCACTTGGGCAGGGTACTACCTGTCTTCACGACCAGTTTAACCACCATCAAGGCTGGACTGGCCATGGTTCAGGGATCATTGAGTATAAAAGACAGCATGGCATACAACTGTCCCCCTAGGTGCCAAATGAATAGTCATTAGTGGTCCTGGCCTATCATTGTTTCCCATGTCATCATGGTGGCTTCTAGGGGCTTCTGCACCATTGTTCTATGGACTCTCTTCTGACCCTCTGCAGTAACACACAGATTATTTCTTTGGAGGATGGTTTTCCTAATCAAAGCTACTCATTTTTAAAGCTCCCAATACATCTCTAATCCATCATTTTCAAACCTGTTTAAATTATTTAATGTGTTGCAGCTCCCCGTTTTAACTGTGAAATGTTTTGATCAGATATTAATACAGCTATTTGTACACTTTCGGCTGCCCACTTAACACAAGGTCTGACTACACTTTAGAATATTAGTAATGTGGTATTCAGCTGAATCAAATATTAACCATCCAAAACCCTGACTTCCCCCTAAAAAGAGGAAAGAAAGTAGCTTTGATTTTTTTTTTCAGTGCATAGCTGTGGTGAAGTCATTGGTTATTAATATTTTTAAAAGCTTTGCCCAAGGACACACTACCACCAAAACATATTATTAGTAACATATTGAATAATTTAAAGCATGTCACTAAAACTCGCCAATAAATGAATAAAACCTAGTTTGAGGAGCTACCCTCTTGGATTCTTTTTGAGTTTTTAAGTTAAAAAGAAAAAAAGCACAGCCTGGTGAATTTTTTTTAGCTGTTTTGTTTTGACCTTTCTAAATATCTTATAAATTAGGCTGAAATGTGATTTTTATCGGCTTGTAAAGTTTCTTCCTTATCTTCTTGTGTCATTCAGCTCAACGGAGACTCTCAGGCAAAAGTACAACGGATTCTACGGTTGATTTCTGGTGGTGGATTGTCCATAACTGGATCCCATATCTTGTGTGGAGACTTCCTCTTCAGTGGTCACACCGTTGTGCTGACACTTACTTATTTGTTCATCAAAGAATGTGAGTACTAACTCATTCCCACTCTATTGACCGCTGTAGTGGGAGGGATCCCCGGGCCCTGAAACTTATGGGAACTCTTACCCTTTGGGCTTGATATCTATGGAAGGTACAGGTGTGTGAGTGTGTGAGAGTGTGTGTGTCTGAGTGTATTTAATTCATTCCAACTAGGCCTATGTGATTTGAACATGGGAGACTTAAAACTTGGCCCTGGATTCTCTAACATTTAATCTGGCTCCAGAATGTCTCAGTCCCTCATTAGAACCTCTCAAGGTATGAAAAGCTATTTTAGTGTTGGCAAATAGGTGTTAAGTTTATTACAAACAGAATCAGTGCACTGGAAAGCTGAATGTAAATGACTTATGAGTGTGTAATTTCCATTGTATGAAACTTCCATTCTATCATTCCAAATAATTTGATGTTTTCCCCTTTTTTTAGATGTTTTCTTGTCCCATTTCAGTGTCACCATTTTCCAGCTGACTTCTGTGCTTTAATAGGCATCTTCAAAAAATATTTTGCCAATATTGATCATTTCTTCATACAAAACATGGAAGCAAGAATGTGAAGTATCTTTCCATATTTATACACTTAATTGCCGTTATACAAAATCGTTATGGAGCCCAGCAGCTTTCATGGCTGGCATGGTGCCTCCTTCATCGTGGGAGCTGTGTTTGAGGTTAGCTGCCCAGCAGATCCCATTGTTGTAGATTTCTGAGGTTCGATTTATGTAGACCCATCACCTCAAAATCCTTTCAAAGTAAGTGATACCTTTTCCTTCGTTTTTGCAAAGCTGGTCAGGTTAACCTTCACCTTTAGTTCCAGAATACTCCATATTGTTTCTTAGAACTTTATCTCCACTTTCTTCACTTCCTCAGCATTGTAAAGAGGCCTTTTGGCAAAGACCAACAGAAGGTCGCCTGCCCTTCTGTTGTCCTGCTTCTTCTACCCTCTCTTGGCCTGTCATTAATCCAAACAGGTTTAGCCTTACTTCATGGCAGTATGGACATCACAGTTTATCTGTCAGTGGCACATAAGTGAGTTCTTGTCTCCATAGGCCACCTGGGGTCTCAGGTTTCAGTTCCGCTTTGAGGGCTTTAGGACAAAGATTTGAGATTATTTGCAGTAGAGGAAGTTTTGTTTTTTTGTTTTTTTGGTTTTTTTGGTAAGAATTGTGTAGTTTGAGGTGTTTCCTTTGTAAGTGCTACACACACACACTTAGAGTGGGGAGAGTAGCATGTTAAGTGCACAGGCTTCATTATTCCTGACATAAGGTGGAGGCCGTTCTGAACCTTTCCCCTTATTTCTGTCCTCACATTTCTACCAGAGGTGGTAATGGGGAGAACCTGAGTCTGTTTCTGCACCAATATCGGGGTTGTCTCTTCCTTCAATGTCAGTTATTTCTCATATGTAGTTATTGGTTCTGATGAGCCAGTAGAGAGATCTGTGTGGTTGATGACTCTAACTTTTGCTGGGAAGAGTTCCACCAGTGTGTAAGATCAATTATTTTCTAGTCCAGAGGTGGACTCATGCTATAGGAGTTTCTCTCTAATCTGAGAATCATAGGAAACTTAGAGAAGAAGATGATGGTGAGGCGGGGAGGAGCTGCATGTTGGAACGAAGCCATGGTGAGTTGCAAGTAATGACAAGAAACACCCCAGGAAACTGAAGGTCAATTTTAGAAAATAACTGAAGACCAAGTGATGCTAACAATAATAGCAAATAGACATAATACTCTGTGCCAGGCACTATTCTAAGTCCTTGATGGAAAACAACTCATTTAATCCTGCAGCCACCCCATGAGAGCAGCACTGTTTTCCCCTTTTTCAGAGAGGACACTTAGAGTGACTTCCCACGGTCCATAGTTGGTGATTGGAGGATGGAGTATTCAACCTCAAGTAGGCTGACTCTAGAGGTTATGCTATTAATTTCTTGGGTCTCTTTAGAATATTTGGGAGCCCAACTTGTCTGACCTTATAAAATTGCTAAGGAACAGTCCAGGTATATTGCCCACTATTGTTCTTTCTTTTACTTCAGGACAATAGCAAGGCAACTTGTGATTATTTGTATGCTCTGACAAAGGCTATGCAGTATGTAGAGATATTTTCTTCCCAAAACGTGATTTTGGCTTGAGGTTTCAAAAACTGTGTGAGTTAACATACAGCAGTGAAAGAATTACATCCTGATGTTTCTAATTTTTGGTGAGGAATGAAATGGCAAATCTGTAGTGCTAAGTACAAACCCAACTCTAGCATCAGTTCTGTACATGGACAGAGCATTCCACGTTTGTTCCCGTTTCCTATGCAATTAGGAAAAACAGTCACCTTCTAAGTGATGCCCTGTGTTCTGGTTCAGAGTAAGCAGTGGTCCCAGATGGTTTCTTTGAGCCGTCTGCTTCTAGAATCAGATGCATCATTCATATATTTTTTTGTTTTCCTGCTTTTTGATCTGTTTGGTCTCTTTCCTTGTTTGCCTGGTTGTCATGAATACATTTTAATTTAGTCAAGAGAACAGATAAAAACATGGGACCAGGACCATTTTGTGGGCTTTACACAGAGGGGAGTTTTACACAGTTGTGCAAATATTTCACTGAGGCCTAGGTTCCTTAGAAAACTGGCCTGAAGAAATCAGCCTAGCCTTTAGTACCAAGTGCCTTGCTGGTAGAGAGGGAAAAACTCCCTCCCTCCCTCCCTCTCTCCCTCCCTCCCGCTCTCCCTTCCTTCCTTCCTTCCTTCCTTCCTTCCTTCCTTCCTTCCTTCCTTCCCTCCTTCCCTCCTTCCCTCCTTCCCTCCTTCCCTCCCCCTCCCTCCCGTCTTTCCTTCCTTCCTTCCTTCCTACCATGCTACCACACAAAGTCCATTGTCTGTATGATTCAATGTCTGTAGGGCTTGGGTCCCACACAGGCAGTGGGGTGAATTAATATTTGTGTCATCCTCTTTCAGCCTGATGTTATTAATCCCTATGGTAGAATGGGAAAGCAGAAAAGTTACCATTTTCCCATTTCTGTTTCAAAATTTATATTAAATCTTTTCTTTGGCTCAGCCAGCCAGTGTTCTTAGTTAGTGAGCAGTGGCCCCAATGTGGTAGCATAATTGGGAATACATTTTTATGGAAGAGCAGTGTTAGTATTTCCAGACATTCTTAAAACTTCATTTTCAATTCCACAAGTACTAAATGACCACTCGGCCCATCTCTTTACTCCTTTTATACTTCAGCTTTGCTTCTTGTGGATAAACAAATACAAAATTGTTCTGGTTTGCCCAAACATTTTTAACTTCTAAGGTAATAAGTACCAGATGACCTTATAAGCAAAGGGAACTGAGCTGCTGTGAAGCTTCAGAGAAGGATGGAGTCTGTGGTTCTGCAGAACGCCTATTTTGTGAAATCTCCAGATTTCTAAGAGTTGGTTCACTTTTGAGTACTCTCCACCTAATGGAACAGTTATGGGGCCTGGATGTGGCCACCAGGCTGTAAAGGGTAAGGCTTCTTCCAGCTTTAAAATTCTAGGAGTCTATCCATTGTCTGCTAGAAGTCTGTGCCAGGATGAACCAACTGAGAAGCGATAAGGCGTGCATGCAAAAATTAAACAGCAGACTTCCAAATGCAAACAGGTTTGGGGCGCCTGGGTGGCGCAGTCGGTTAAGCGTCTGACTTCAGCCAGGTCACGATCTCGCGGTCCGTGAGTTCGAGCCCCGCGTCAGGCTCTGGGCTGATGGCTCGGAGCCTGGAGCCTGTTTCCAATTCTGTGTCTCCCTCTCTCTCTGCCCCTCCCCCGTTCATGCTCTGTCTCTCTCTGTCCCAAAACTAAATTTAAAAAAACGTGGAAAAAAAAACTAAAAAAAAAAAACAAAAACAAATGCAAACAGGTTTATAAACTTCCTGTTATACTTGAAACCAAAAGAGCAACAGGTATTTCACCAAAAAATATTCTTCATTTGAATGATACCTGATTTCGTATTTATTTCATCTGGATTTCTGGAAATGGATTCTCTTGGCATTCTACTATTGTGCTGTACTTAGAAATAAATGTCACTATGAATGTAAACACAGTTAAATATGAAATAAATTTGTTAGATTATTAACTTTGTGAGTTAATAAGGCTTTAAAATAGAAAAAAAAAAAAGACACAGCTATTAAAGAAAAAGAAAAAAGGGAAAGTTATTAGAGATGAACCAGAGGTTGCTGCCTGTGTCCTCATCACTTGCGTGCACAGGCTGTGGGGTGTATGATCGCATTTCACCTGATGAGTGCTCTGGTTCTCTCCTCTAGCTAATCAATATAATGACCTTTTTATTGGACTCACTAGGAGAAGGTTAAAATCCACAAGTGAATGAGCCAGAACCCTAAGCTTTACATCAGGAGTGTTTCATAGTCACGATTAGCAATAACAGTATGAAACTGCTGAGAAGCAAAATACTGTTGGCCACAATGCCATTTTTCTCCCCCTGGAGAAATCAAAATATGTTTCTGTAAGACCTGAAATTACTCCTGCTTTCTTACTTTTGCCTACATTTTCATTGACAACTACCCTTTCTTTTGACCCCTACTGCTTTTCTTTCCAGTGGGATCTCTTCTGTGAGCCAATATGAGCCAATTCCAACCAACCTGATAAACAATTCTGTTCTCTTCCTTATTGAACAACTTAGCAGCGGACAAGGCCTAGAATACCTAGGGAGTGACTGTTCCCCGATGAATGCCTATGAGAGCTGCCCCCGGTGGTCCCCTCCTTCTCTCTTTGTACCTGAGCAAATCCCGGACTGTTCACAGTGACTCATTTTGGGTTAATCAGTTTTCTTCTTCCAGTGACTTCCTGACCTTAGATTATTCTACTTAAGGTCATTAACATAGACTGTAATCATTAAATTCATCTCTGGGAATCTTACTAACTCTATACTTTTCCTCCCGTCTAGATTCGCCTCGTCACTTCTGGTGGTATCATTTAATCTGCTGGCTGCTGAGTGCCGCCGGGATCATCTGCATTCTTGTAGCACATGAACACTACACTGTCGACGTGATCATTGCTTATTATATTACAACACGGCTGTTTTGGTGGTACCATTCAATGGCCAATGAAAAGGTGAGAGCAGTGAAATTATCCTGGGATGATTCTCTTTTCTTTAAATGCAGTGGCCCCCTTTTCATGCAGCGGGGGTTCAGGTGGCTTAGTGGGAATAGCTGCTGTCGCCACCCACTTGTGGGGTCTGGGTCAGTTCACTGAAACGTATACCCATTACTGCTTCTTAAATGATGTCACCAATATAAATGACATTTAAGGATAAAAGTGCTGTATAATTATAGAGCATGGTGTTTTACTAATTCAACTAGTCAATACCAGAATTGAAGAACTATAAATGCTAAATTAAAATGCAGGAACCTTCTCTGTAGAAGCGTCATGGGGCAGCCAGGTAAGACATGCTCCCTGCCTTCAAAGAACTGAAATTTTGAGGCAAAGACAGAATCTATTTTAAAAAGACAAAATAAGCAGTCCATGAATTCCTAGATTTGGTCCGTCTTTCGGTGATACTGTGCTCTCTGGCTTCCCTTCTCGTCCCTTCCTTATTTGTTGCTGGTGCCTTCCATTCCCAGATGACCTTTTCTTCTTCTCCTGTTCGTGTCGAAGAGCTAGCTCAAATGCCACGTCTTCTGGGAAGCCTTCCTAACCCCTGCTCTCTTCCTGTCATCCCAAGATGGGAAGACTCCTCCCCTTCTATGTGTTTTCCTAGTCTAGGTGTGTGTGCTTGGTGTAGGAGAGTGAGTCTGCAGGGGCGCCTGGGTGGCTCGGTTGGTTGAGCATCCGACTTCAGCTCAGGTCATGATCTCACAGTCTGTGGGTTCTCGCCCCATGTTGGGGTCTGTGCTGACAGCTCAGAGCCTGGAGCCTGCTTCGGATTCTGTGTCTCCCTTTCTCTGCCCACCCCCCCCACCCTTGCTCTCACTCTGTCTCTCTCAAAAATAAATAAAACATTTTTAAAAATTTTAAAAAAGGAAAGAGCATGCATCTGTGTAGTCTAACTGACCTTTGGATAGTCTTGCCGTATTGTCCAATGCATGTAATTTGTGAGCAGTTGAAATATGCCATTCCCAAAGGGTCTAAATCAATTCTCGTTTAGTGGTGTCCACTGATAGATGCCTCTTTTGGGGTTATTTTGTCTCTAGTTCTACTTCCCATTTTATGAACTTTAATTTCCCCCTTCCTTATACTTCCGTCTAAATGTCTACTGACAGCACCCCACCAAAACCTTCACCTTTCCTCTTAAATGTGTTCCACCCTGCGAGCTTGCCCTGCACTCTTCCATCTTCCTCCAGCCTACATCCACCTGCTCACACATCTTTACAACTCTTCCTCCTGGCCCACTCTCACATCCGTTCCTGAATCTGCACTCTTACTGGGACTGCAGGCAGAAGAATTTGCATGAGCTGGAGCAAGGGGGGAAGGGGGCTGGGACCAGAAACATGTCAGAATCAGAGAAAAGGTGCAAAGACAATTATTGCCTTGTGATCCTGATTCTGCTGCTTTCTCTGTTATGGTACAATGAATGACAATTTAATTAAGAAAAAAAAAATGGGATGCAAATCATGAAAAATTGGTCTCATTTTCCTTTTTTTTTTTTTTTTTACCTTTTTACAGAACTTGAAGGTCTCTTCACAGACTAATTTCTTGTCTCGAGCATGGTGGTTCCCCATCTTTTATTTTTTCGAGAAAAACGTACAAGGCTCAATTCCTTGCTGCTTCTCGTGGCCACTCTCCTGGCCCCCTGGCTGCTTTAAATCCTCATGCAAAAAGTATTCACGGGTTCAGAAAATCGGTGAAGATAATGAGAAATCTACCTGAGGAGCAAAACAAAGGCATCAGCTCTTACACCAAAAGAGTTAACGCTGTAACCAAAGGTATAGTTTTGGGTTTTTATTTTAGAAGAACTGACTGGTAAAGGAAGAAGTGGACCAAATTTTGTGTAAATGATTAGAAAGATGAACGAAGTATTACCCTTTGACTGCTTTTCTGATTCATCCTGAGAAAGGTATATTCTCCTGCAGCCCTTCATTCATTGGTGACAAGCCCCCCCCACTGGGATTTTACTAATGAGCTTCTTAAAGAGGTGCCAAAGAACATACTATTCCTATCCTTATTCTTTCTCCACTAAAGCCCTCTACAGAATTTTTCAGGATTTTTTTTTTCTCCAAGGTCAGAAGAATTTGTTAATGTTTTAAATAAACTATCTGGATATATACAGCTACTGTGTAAATAGAATTACCCAATGTTGAGAGTGGTTTTAGTATTAGGCTTATTAATGAGGGGGAGATCCATGGTTAGGAGTAAACTGGAGGTGAACTTTGTTTCCACTTTGTCATGGGGAAGGTCAGGGTCAGGTCTGGGAATGTGCACTGCTGCTACCACCCCATGCACTATGTATCACTTTTACTTTTTTTAACTGATACTTATACATACACACACACACACACGCGCACGTGTGTGTGTGTGTGTGTGTGTGTGTGTGTGTGTGTATAGATATATATAGATATATATATAGATATATATATATATATATAGGAAAGGTGATCTAAGTAAATATGGAAGTATTTGACACATCTCACAGATTTTACGTGTGTGTAAATATTTCCCCTTAGAATCTGTATGGCAGATATACAGGACGCCTGGAGCTGTTTCTGCTAAACAGGTGGTCCTTGAGTACACATGTATATGCTATCTGCCGGGTAGATACGCATCTGGTATCCCTAGGGCAGTCAGCTGCTCCAGCACAGGCTAGAAACACATAGGTGTGTGAGCGGATGGTCATGCCACTTGGGGAACAAGGCTGCATTTCTGTCCTGTCCTACCCTGTGGGAGATCTGTTTTAGAGCTGCTGGTTGGAACTCAAAAATGCAGTTGGCCACATTTCACTGCAGACGATTTCTTCCTAGTTACATTGTACTTTGTGGAAAAACCAAGGAGGAGTCCAAAAGTGTAATGTATCCTTGCCTTTTAGCAAGAGACTCAGCTTCTTATAAACTGGTCCTAAGGACATATGCCACAATTGAGTAATTTTACTTTGATCCTGGACTTACACCACGGTGCTGCACTATAACCTACTGTTGAGATCGGCCTGTTAGACAGTTACAGCTACTCAGTAAAAGGGGGATCATCGTTTCTAAAGTTCTTTGAGGTGGTGCAAAAAGAAGATGGATTTTTAAAAATCGGATCAGATCAATGCTGTCCGAGTTAATCTCTTAAAACTTCTAGTAAGTTTAAAAAAAGATTTATGGTTACAAAATCATCAACACTAGGTCAGAAGACAGAGAGGCCAATGACGCCAGTGAGCGAGCAGTTACATTTATATCGAATGTGAAAATTTCCCTCCACTTAAGAATGAGAAATATCCCGAAATTTATCATTATAAACTGGTTTGCCTTGATTTGATACACAAAATTGACCTTCAGATTGCTTGAGAGAAGCACAGCACAAATTTTTCAGAAGAGTCCTTATTTTTGGTGCTAAAATTCTGTTTGTGTATTCAGTATGGCTCTTTCTCAATGTAACAGAAGAATCACTAAAGGAAAGGTAGTCGAATTCAAAGGGAGGAAGAAAGACATTCTTCATCCGATCATTTAAAACAAGAATTGAAATCCTAAATATCCTTGACAGGCTTTGAAATGCAAGGAGTTTTCAGGTATTTGTTATTAAATGAACCGATAAGAAATATATCTGTAGCTTCCCCGATGTGCTTAGCCATAATTCTGTATAACTTTCTCTTATTAAATATTGACACTTGTGATATATAAGGGGTTGTGCTTGAAAACACAGAGTTTAAATTCCTGCTCCCTGATTATGAGCAAAAGCATGTGACACTGAAGCCTGGGTTTTATGCTCCTTACATTGGAATAGTCCTTGAGCATCTGATTCATAACCTGATATACCTGAGAGCCTTATTTAACAGTGTGTTGGAAAACCTAATTTTCTGCAAATTAAAAAGGGAAAAGTATTTAAGATTTAAAAATCACGGTGTGTGGATTGCCAGAGACCCTTGAAACAGTAAAGCTTGCATTTTAGTCAAGTAATACAGTTTTAAAAAAACACATCACCTTTTAAAGAACTTTAAAAACCTCTCTGACCTCACATGTGGACACTATTGCTCACATGTTCTTTACGTGTATGTCTCATAGATGTCTAGTAGACACTAAGCATGAGGTTTGAAAATAAGGAGGGCAAATAACCAAAGTTTCAAGATGGGAAAAGAAAAGCAGTGAAACTCCATTACATGTAGGAAAGCAAACTTGAGGCTTAACCTAACATGCCACTTAGAAAACTTAAACAATTATGATCCTGCTTTTGAAACAATAAATTTTGGGAGCTCCTTTTCCTTGCTAATTACAGTACAAGATCTTATCCATTATCTTTGTTTTTGTAAACCAGTGCTCCTGTTTGAAGCTTTCCTTGTAATTTGGTCCTTCTGCACAATATCTATAATATATCATTCCTGTAAATTACTCCATATTTTTTCTAAATTCTTTCAAGTCGAAATGGATTCCTCTCAGGTTCGATTTTTTTTTTTTTTTTTTTTTTTTTTTTTTTTTTTTTTTTTTTTTTTTTTTTAGCTCCTCCACAGCTCTGAAAATGAAGCATTGTTCCCAGCTCCACCCAAACTAATTTTAAATTTGTTATTTAATTTTACTGGCATCTTAGGAAACAAGCTTTGCTGAGGAAAGAAGGCTATTTTGAGTGAGCCCAAGCCCCTGGTCTGGTGGAATGATGACATTGTGTAAGGTTCTTTACTGTATACCAGTGCCCCCTTGTGGAAATATGTTATATGACTTGGAACACAAACTTGCCACTTTTTAAAAGTAGATTTTCATGTTTTTAAAAGGCATTTGGTTAGTTGGTTGGTTGGTTTTTTGTTTTGTTTTATTTTTTGCCAATAATCTGAAAACATCATGCAAAAGGAACTTCAAGGTATGTTAAACCTTTCCCCAAGGGAAAATGTGCTTAGATCGCAGAGAGTTGCAGTTCTAATCTTTCATCCATTTGATCAAAGAAAATTTGAACACCATTTTACCTCTCATTGTCACAATCATTAATGTCTCCCTTTATAACTACCTATATACTTTGTTTACTTTGAAACACCAGGTTGGCTTTCTTATTTTTTATTATTATTTTTTACATGCTAGAGCTCATGCAGTTTCTGTTTTAATTAAAAAGTTCACATCTTGTTTCTTTAATATTTTGAACATTTCTTTTTAATTATTTGTTTTTTGTTTTACACTGTAAAACCGATTAAAAATTTAAGCTGGTCTTAACACACTTACTTCTGTAGGAAGTGTGAGAAGGAATTTCTTAATAAATGAGTTTACAAGTTTTAAATGAGCATATGATAAGTAATATGCCATGTGTTGAAGGCTTTTCTATTTGTATGTATAAAGATTTCTGGTATTTTTTTTAATGTCATTGTGTTGCAATAATTTAACTCCTTTGACTTACTTGCTAAAAATATTTCTTCTATTAAGAAGTGCTCTTGACTTCAGTACCTAAACACTGAAAATCATGTCAAAGGTACCCAAAGATAAGTTTTTATACCGATATACACCTTATAAGTTCTCATTTATTTTATTACTCATTAACTATACTGTGTTCTAAATGAATCATGAGTGAGAATAGCTCTTTATTATGGAATTATTTAAAACTGTCCTTTAAAAGAAAAAGAAGAAACTGTAAACATAAGCTAATCTAGTTGCCAAGTTGGAATTCATTATTTAATTTACCTCCTATGCAATGATTAATGCTGCAAAATGTATGGTTATGTTACAGTATATTCACAAAAGATATATTATTACAAGATTTGAGAGGTAGCCAATTGCATTCTTTCGGAAATTTACTGTACTGTTTCAATGTGTTAAGTGCCTTGTTGTAAAGTAAAATTTTAAGTCTAGAATTCATTATTTTCCTGACATATTTTTCATTACGATATATACTGTATGCTATTGTAATAGTTTTATTAAATGCTTATATTTTAATCAAACATGTAAATTTCAGAAGCTCTTTTCTCCTACCCACCAGTACCTTAATCATTGATCTATCATTTGGGATTTGCATTCAAGTTTTGTTTTGTTTTGTTTTTTTAAGAGGAAATTATCTTCGTTTAGAAATGTTTTCCATGCTTGTGCTTTTGTGTCTGTAAAAGACATTTCAGAAGGAATTTAGGAGTGGAACTATAGTTTATACTTCTAAAAATGCCATTTTACATTTACATTTTAAGTGCCTAATTGTTAGTTAAAACTAATTTATGTTTCTATTTTAAAGAGGATATGTGTACTTGGTTTCTAATCTCCTTGGCTTTGCTTTAAAAAAAAATAGCAAAAAAAAAAAAAAAAAAAGAGCAAGAGCCTACACTTTGTATTTACCCAATAAACCACAGTGACATCAACAGTCTTTTGAAAATTAGTATTACTGTTTCTTTTGGTTTAAAAAAAATTATTTTCTGTAAAGATTTTAAATTTTTGTTTGGTTTTAAGTGCTTATTAAAACCACAAGAGGATTATTTTCTTCAAGCACTATTATTAAAATAAGGTGATAACCTTCAATTAATAGAACTGTAAGTAAACTGGAATGTGTTATTTTTCCCCTGCCCTTGGATTTAAGGTGAAAAATAATTCCGAACAATATAAGGTCATTTATGGAAGTAAAAAAATCAGCTACACACTCCATGATTCTGATTTACATTGTTCACAAAGGGACAGAATCATTAATTCGTCAAAGAAAACAGTCCTTTCTGTCACTCAGTCCTGAAAGAAATGTCATCCTCATGCTTTCACTATTGGGACACTGAGGTGATGTCCTCTAGC